TGATAACTTATTGCTTTTCCACTATTTTAGGAACTGCATGTTGTGTCTTTTTGTGATATCTGTCAAAGAATTTTCACTGGAACAATAAAGTTTTATCCTAATGTATTGAATCCTATCTGATCTTTTTCTCTGTATTTATTTGTACAGCTTCTTGTTACTTCTCATGCAACTCAGTTTTTTTGCACCAGTCCCTGTCTTGCTGTCTGTAATACCTCTTCTTGCCTCCTCCTCACTCTTAGGTGAGAAATCGTCCTTTTTCCGCTGCATGCATACATCACATCTGCTCAAAACAAGCTGCTGCTGCTCCTCACACACACACCAAACGTTGTGCGATTTCTCCTCGGCCTGAAGTTTTTTTTTGTCTGAAAGTTTGAAGAGTGACGGTCTGCGTTTGTTGAAAGCTAAGCAGGAGGCCTTCAGGTGGGCTTGGCGGGGAGCCTGAGCCGCTGTGTGCACCTGTTTCACTCGTGTTGTGGGGACATGAACGCATCGTGAGGACCTGCCTCCATCCTCGTGATGCAGACGTGTTGAATTTAAGAGAGCGAGGACCGTGAAATCCAACGCAGCGTCCTCTGAAGTGACGGAAACATGGCCGTTCCCGAGCACAGATTCATCACCGCTGTCGTGTGGATCCGGTTTGCAAATAGAGCGGAGGCAGGCAGACAGTCAGAGAAAGGCAGAGAGAGACACAAACTAATGATATTCTACTTTTATTATTGTCAGCAAATCCATGAAAAGCCCCGAATCAACAATGGATTGATTCTACCCTGAGCCTGATATTACATATTCCTCTGTAGCGCGGAGCTCCATCATTGTCCAAAAACTATAAAAGCGCATCGGTGAGCAGCATTGTCGCGCTGGCAGATACGCCGCTTCATTACAATAAACACAGAGTGGAGGCTGTAGATATCAGGAATACTCCAACCCTCATAAAATTCATATTAGTCCACGGCCGCAAATAGCACCCAAAAAAAAAATTAATGCATTTACTCCTGTTTGAGTAATAGCTGCTAAAAACTAGTTGTTGCATCTTTGCAAGCACCTACACACGTTACCAACACTGGAAGATAAAGATAACTCAACATATTATAGATGCTTTACTTCTGTTTTTGTTGCCTGTATTTGCTTCCGTCTCTGCATGAACACAGCCTGCAGTTCAGCCCAAAGAAAGCTCTGAATTATCATTGGTTGCAGATGAAGCACACTAAGCAGCACAAATTCTTTAGTTTTTATCCGTTTTTTAAAAAAATCATTATTATTATTTTCTTCCTGTTTGAGTTATGTTTGCAAAAAAAACTACAGTTGTCATGCTTTGGGAAGCACCTACACATGCTACCAACACTGGAAAACAGGGATTGTTCTACATATTGTAGATGTTTTAGTTCTGTATGTGTTTCCGTCTCTGATTGGAAGATAAAGATAACTCTACATGTTATAGATGTTTTACTTCTATTCTTGTTGCCTGCATTTGTTTCCGTCTCTGCATGAACACAGCCTGCAGTTCAGCCGGGAAAAAAAAGCTCTACATTTTTATTCTGTGATGGTTGGTTGCAGCTGAAGCACTCATTTTTGGGTTTTTGTTGTATTTTCTTCCTGTTTGAGTCATGTTTTCTAAAAGTTGTCATGCTTTGGCAAGCACCGACACATGTTACCAATACTGGAAAATAAGGATTATTCTACATATTATAAATGTTTTGTTTCTGTCTCTGCATGAACACAGCCTGCAGTTCAGCCGAAACAAAGCTCTAAACTGGGGCGTCGCTGTAGCTCACCTGGTTGAGCTGGCGACCCATGTGCAGGGCTACGGTGCCGATGTGGAGGTCATGAGTTGTCCTCCTTCTCTACTCTCATGTCTCTCACTGCACTATCCAATGAAGGCCAAAAAACTAGCACTGGTGGCTTCACAGTTCCACCGAGCAGCTCAAATTCTTTAGTGTTTTGTTTGTATTTTCTTCCTGTTTGAGTCATGCTCACTAAAAACTACAGCTTTTACAAGCACAAACACGTTACCAACACTGGAAAATAGGGATTATTCTACATATTATAGATGTTTTAGTTCTGTATGTGTTTCCGTCTCTGCATGAACACAGCCTGCAGTTCAGCTGAAAGGAACTTCTACATTTTTTTTTTTAAGTTATGTTTTTTGGCCTTTATTAGATCGGACAGTCAAAGGAGAGGCAGGGAAGTGGGGGACGGGTCGCAGCAAAGGGCCGTGAGCGGGATTTGAACCCGCTGCATCGGAGACTACAGCCCCTGAACACGGGTCACCAGCTCAACCAGGTGAGCCCAACAATCTCTACATTTTTATTGGTTGCAGATGAAGCACTCGTGGCTTCACAGTTGCACCGAGCAGCTCAAATTCTTTATTTTTTTGTATTATCTTCCTGTTTCGGTGACGTTTGCAGATTTTTTTTAACCCTAAAGCAGCTAAAGTGGCTGAATATCAAATCCAACGTGTTTCCTGCTGATCTTTATTCAAATTAAATCATAAAATTAACCCTGAATCATCGATATGGACTGAAACGTTTCAGATTGTTCCGCTGCATCGCCCCGAACTGCACATTTTCTTCTCGAGAACCTTTAATAACCCCAGACTCGTACTTTGAGACGGAAAAGAGAAGTTTTCGTCGAATAGAGCGTGACAGGGGAAGTGAGAGCGAGCGCAGGAGAGCGCCGGTGTAGTTAGCACATAATTTTCACCTGCTGATTACCGCCGAGCGAAAGATTCAGGGGGTGGACAGACGACCGCAAACACACCGACACGCACACGGCGAGGCAAGAAACACACAAGCACGGCAAAACGTGCGCACGCAAACAACCGCGGACACTTTAAATTCCCACTCCAATTAAATTCTAGCATCTGCCAACTTGTAAAGTTGTCACACAACTTTAGTCGTAGCATCAACAGCAGCAGAAACAAGCTACGTATGCACACGTCTCTGCAGGTGAAGCGTCAGAATCAGAGGAAATATCACCGCAAAAGCAGCAACGCAGACTCTCCCTCCAAGGTTAGATGAGCAACATCTCTTGTCGCTCTTTCATCCTGCTTTTGTCTCATTGCTCCTCACAGAGAGGAAGAAAAAGAAAAGAGGGAGGAGAAAAAGAAAAGGCACTGACAAACGTTTCCTTTCCTGAAACAAAGCTCTGGAGGAAAAATGGCTGGAAGGAACAACGGGGAAAGAAAAAAA